TTGAATTGAGGAGGAATTGGATTGAGGAGGAATTGAAATGAGGTGGAATCAGAATCAGATTCCTGTTGAAGTTGTTTACTAAAACTGTCCGGAATCGGAATACAATTCCACAAAGCTGTTTACTAATTCAGCAGAATCGGAATATAAACCAATATGATTACTAAAATGTCCTTGTCTCAAATCAAATATTTTATATACTTTTTTTAATAAAATTTGATATAGTATATAATAGTAAGAAAAAATTAAATTGCTTTTTTATTTCATAGACATACTACAATGATTTTGTTTATTTTATTTTTATAAATTTAAGTATTGACTTTAATATATAAATTTTCTTGCTCAAGTTGTAGTTTTTTCTCTTCGGTATATGTATGGAGTTGTGCATAATGTGAATGAACATAGAATTATGCTTAATGAGCTAGAAGGACATGGAAAGAAATTGTTAGGAGCATTTTCAGAAAAATAAGTCTAGGGTTAAAAAGATAATCTTGGAAATAATGAAAGCAAGTGAGGGCATAAAGGGAAACAAATTATCATTCCGATTGGTTGGGCAATCCGGAATCCAAATACCTTGTATATGTTGGGAATCTAAATCCTTCAATTTCAGGAATTGGATTCCATTTTTTGTGTGGGCCCCACACACTTTTGATTCCTCCCAATTTTAGAAAACACAGGTATAATCCGTAATTGGAATCGGATTCCTTATTCTCATTCCGATTATGGGTTAGTAAACGCACTATTAGTACTACGGTCTAGTGGTATGCCTCTTTACTTGTAAGTGAAATGTCTCAAGTTTGATTCTCGTCAAAGGCGAATTTGAACCACAATATTGCTAGCCCATTGTGAAGCTAAGCCCATCCCTTCCCACCTTAGTGAAAATAATATCATTGGTTAAAAAAAAAAAACAAAATCCTTTGAAGAAATTTTGGAGAAATTTAATTTTTTGGGTGACGATTACACTGTGATAGTGTTGTTAATCTGTGTGTTATATTGTGAATAAACAATATGATTAACAAACATCATGGACCTAGATTATATTATCATTAAAAAAATCCATGTGTTATAAGGTCGCATACTTGTTAATAATAAAGGAAGGGGGAAGAGTTCAAAACTATTTCAATAATTTTAGGGAGGGGGGATTTTTGAACTTGGGACGCATAGGTAGAAACCCAACAACCTATCCACTAAATATTGTACCACATGCTACTATTGGAGGGTTAGATTTGTTGCGTTTAATACATTAGTCTTAAGCTGATGACATAGCTAGATTAGGATAGCTTATCACTATTATTGTTAAGATGTACAACTACTGCAGTTCTCCATTATTAATTAATGAAATTATTTTAAGATTTTCTTTAATGTTACAATGTTACAATCACACTAAAAAACTTATGAACTTAAAAAAAATTATCTAGGTTAATAAAATCAAATACAATGATCACCATGTTAAATCTTATTGCAAGTTGTTATGATTTTATGCACGCCTATATAAATGTATGTATTGCACATGCCTTTCATGCACCCTTAAATGCCTTTCGTTTGTGGCGTGCATGCATAATATATACACCCACACACACTTTGGATGCGGTCCCTAGTTATGAATATTTTTTTACTGAAACTTTGTTGGTTTTCAATTTTTGATTGAAGTCCTTGAAATTAATGTGATAATTTATTTCTATGTATGTTACTATATTTTTTAAATAAAAATTTGAAATTTATAGTTGTTTATATTAATGAGCTTTTAAATAAAAAAACCATAATTTGTGGGATTAAAAATATCAAAATATAAATATACTATTGTGTGTGTGTGTGTAAACATGTGTACATTCATCAAAATTAACCAAAAAATTATTGTACCAAAACATGGGTACATTCTTCAAAAATCACACAAAAATAAAAAGATATTAGGCTTAATAACATTAGTAATTTTCTTCGTTTAAACTTGACATAGATACATTCTCAAATCAAAGAAAAAAAAATGTACCCATATAAGTTTAAAAATGGATTAGAAAAAAATGGTACTTACATATAACAAATTGGTATATTTAAGAATGAGTACATTTTAAGATTAAAATTTTGAAAAAATTACATGAATGGGTACATTTAAGATTAAAAAATTAAAAACATTTTTTAAAAAAGCCAATGGGTACAAACTTATTCTAATTTATTTATTTATTTTGGAAATATTTTGAATTGAAAATTAGTGAGGAGTTTAATAAAGATGTGAGAATTAAAATTTTAAATCAATTATTAATTTTTATTTTAAAAAATTATGTAACTGACATGTAAATTCATTGTTACATTAATACTAGGGACTTAGATCAAAATTTAAAAACTAATAAGGTTTCAATCAATGAACATTAGTAACTAGGGACGGGATACTAATTTTTACATATATTTACATATATATATATAACAAAGTGCAGAAACAGTTTTGCTCAATCTTTTTCATATATATATATAACAAAGTGCAGAAACAGTATTGCTCAATCTTTTTCTGACAAGTAATATCTAAGGAATTGTACTCAGACTCAAACCTCAAACAGCATTCGAAGATGGTAGACTTTGCATTGCCTGAAGAAATTAAAAGCTACATTAGCAAGCTGGGAAATGATGTTCCAAAACCGCAGCCCCTCGGTCGATTGTTGTTGTCTCAAAACGCAATAAAAGCAAACTTTTTACCGCTATCTTTGGATCCAAATATATTCAACGAAATCGAGCACAATGTGTTGAATGGGAGACAAAATTATAGTGTTAAGCTGTTAAAGATAGAACCCCCAGCGGATCCATCGGCCCCCGGGGCATCGGTGCCCACAAGATCCGAGGTTGTTGCGTCTCCTATGGATCTGGTTAAGAACGAAAATTACTATGGTTTAACCAAGAACTGGAGTACTGGTGTTGTCAAAGGGCAAAAGTTTGCTGTGTGAAGGGAGAGATTTTTCAGTGTGACTGTCACACGAGACGGTACTCCACGTGTCTCTATATAAATTGTGGGATATGTGTGTGAAAAGGTTAATAACTTAAAAATTAAAATTTTCCACCACTTACATAAAAACATGTGATGTACCATCTGTATTCCCATCATAACTAAAAATTTCTCGTGTGAAAGATTGTACAATGTATTGGACAACTAGGATTATGACATATGCCATTAGATTAGTCAAGAGATGTCTTAAAGTTGTTATATGGTGTAAACTATAAATACCTGAGTGTAATTATTACAATTACAGTTAATTAATCAAGCATATATACTTTGAATGAATTTGTAAATGCAATGGTATATATGTTTTTGTTGGTTGGTGCGTAAACTTACAAGTTTAAGTTTCTTACTCATGTATTTTGTGTTTTTAATAAGATACGCATATGACAATCCAATCGAGGTGATAATCGGGGATACATTACAAACTCTTCTTCATTTATGTTACAATACGTAGTTATTCCAGTATGATACAGATGTTTCTAATTATTGTGTTAGTCTCCTCTAGTCCTATATATAAAATCAATCTAAAAGACTCTTCTTGATCGGTGATGATGATTTAGATCAATGATAGAAGACGATCTTGGTTCCTAATCTGGAAAACATACGCACATATTCACTTACATTGTTACATAGATATATAAGAAAGGGACATAGTTTTACAATAGCTCAAGACAAATATGTCTTTGCAACACAGACACATGAATATATGTAAATTGCCATTTTCCTTCTTCATAGCAGACTGAGGTTAGAGACTTGAGAGTGCAACATTTTGGTTAAGAAGTAACATTTACACACTAGGAATTAATTGGTGTGGACGTGGATCCTATCGTGTCTAGAACTTTGCCCGATTAATTTTGCGCAAAGAAGATTTCGTTGCCTAAAATTCTTTACCGACGAATTTATACTTTGCGCGACGTATCATTTTTTGTTGGGCAAACACTTTTCTGTAGTTGTGTAGGCACCTACCGTAATGTCTAATGGGGTAGAGAAAACTTAGCTATCTTTAAAAGACACATGACGATGGTATCTCAAGTCACTCATTCATTATTCTATATTTAACCGTACATTAGTAACTTAAGATATCATTATCGTAGCATTCCAAACACATTAAAAGTTCTTCTCGCAACGGAGGACCCCTCGACCCCTCTCCTGCAGTTATGATGCCTACCACTGCTGCCCAGTAACACTCATAGTGTTCTACAAGAATTGAGAGACACAAAACTACAACACTGGGCTCCAATTCACTAATAAAAAATAAAATAAAACAAAGTTACGGTCTTTGAAAATTAACCAACCAACCCCATGACCCCATGTCCCCATGTCTTTGCAATATGTCCCTCTCAGCCTTCGCAAACAAAAAATCCACAAAAACGTGAAAAAAGAAAAGGAGAAGAGAAAGAGCTTTAATTAATTGAAATTAGTGTGGCAAATACTAAAGCTTGTTGCTTTATGATACATCTGGCCGTTAGCGGCCAAATAATTGAAATTCTCGGTGGCGGTTGCTAGCTGGTTTTCTTGGTTCCCCTCCTCCACTGCCACCGCCGCGGGTTCTCCATGTGATTCTCCCCTTTATCCGAGGGTTTTTTTGTCAATATACTCAAAAGCATATAGTTATCGTCAGCCTTATTCTAGAACCAGAAGCACTTACCAGCTTCGTTTCTGATAAATAGGCTCTGGCAATATCATGCCAATCCCTTCTTTTATGGTTTTTGACGAGGTTAGGATATTTATATATACAATTTTACAACGCAGTAATACGCCAAATACTTATCATTAGGTATCAAACTTATCTTACGCACATGAAATTATTGGAGATATGTGAGTCGAACATGAGACAATATAAAACATCGATTACAACTAAGTATCAAACTCATTATTGACATATTGTATAGGTGAGTCGAACATAAAATAATCGAACAGAAAACCAATACTTCGTAGGCAACGTGGCATGTGATGATGTAACAAAGTAAGTAAATAGTAGGCATTATATGTTGACTAACATATGGCGCAGATTTTGGCAAAACAACGATAAGTCTTGGGAGGAAACCAACTAGAAAAAGAAAACAAAGACGCGTTCGTCAGTAGAAGTGTTTGATTTGATGTGAATCCCAGAATTGGATGTGCGACCGTACGAGGAGAAGGAGGAGTGAGGGAATAAATAGCACTCTGATAAGCAGCAGCACAAGGGCCAGACAATCACTCATAGAGGAGGAGCAGACGAGGGCGGGCCCACACTTGACGGCACAAGTAGTTGCAACCTGGCGCTTTGGCAACTTGGGCTGACGCCAGCCTCGCAATATCGACACATCACTGACATTATGGTCCTCCGCCCCACCCCCGTGCGCAGCACCCAACAGGCAAGTTGAAGACGTGACTGAAACGATATCTCGAACCGATTGCGTATTGTGTATCCTTATTACACGCTTTTGTTATTTGAAAATTTTAAAACAGTATATAATTAATTTGAGATAGCTTGCAACATCAATCAAATCCTCAAATTAGTTACAAAGATTTTGACTGTGTTTTTGTGTTTGTGCAAGAGGGTTTTGGGGGCCAAGATTGTGTCGGAAAGACATGATTTGTGTTGGGAATCGTGGAGGTTTAATTCAATTTCTATATTTGGTAAGGAACAGGATTAACTTAATTTCTAAACTTGATTAAGGAACAAGATTACTTTTTTATTGTCGAAGATTTTGTAAAAGAAAAAAAAAAACATTATTATTCAGATTTGAACTTTCCAACTTTGATGCGTGGAAAATGCTTTTTATTGTTGTGCAAATTGCAAATTTCTGCTGGCCTTGTCCTTCTTTTTTAGCTGTCGTTTTTTCTCACCACCCGTTTGTTTTTGTTTTCATGTACATCATTGGCATTTTATACCCCAAACCCTCCTCTTACTTGTTCCCTTTTTCTTGTCCTTCTTCTTCTTCTTCCTTTTGTTTCATATTTTTACTGGGTTTTTGCAGAGTTTCCAGAGGCTGCTGCTCTCTCAGTTTGGTAATTTGCTGTTAAGTGGAAGGGCAAACGACTAATGAAGAGCCTAGTAAGTACGTTGGTTTTGATTTCTAGCGTTTGATTCATATATATATGTGTGTATGTGTGTGAGTATGTTGGTTTTGAATTTTCCTCGTCTGGGAATCTGCAAAAGATGATCTTTCTGATCCAATAGTTGTTGGTTTTTACATTGTATATCGGATTTGCGTACGATGTTTGTGAAAAACATCCACAAAAATGGAAGATTAGTTTTTGTTTATGATTCATGATTCTCAGATTAGATTGCTTCTTTGTTTTGCCTAAATTGTCGAGATCTTCGGACATCGAATGTTGTATTCTTTAGTCTGTTTTACTGTCAATATTCATTGATTTTTTCGTTCGCTTTAATCTGTTTTACTGTCAATATTCATTGATTTTTTCATTCGCGCTTTCTGTATCGTTGATTAAGGTTTCGATTTTAGTGTGTTTTTCTTGGTGTTCTACCAAGTTAGTCGCAGGATTTTTGAAGACATATCCCTAACTTCCCTTCAACTTTAATTTTCTTTTATTTCGCATTTTTCAGCTGGCTCTGGTTTTGGTTCTGGCATTTACTAGTGCTGAGTACGATGGAGAAGGAAAGGACAGAGAATGCGAAAGGAAGAAGCTTTTCGATCCCAGACCTCACAGTGTGTCACTCTTGGAGTTTGGCGCAGTTGGAGATGGGAAAACATTGAACACAGTCGCCTTCCAAAACGCTATCTTCTATGTCAAGTCATTTGCTGACAAGGGTGGTGCTCAGCTCTATGTTCCACCCGGCAGGTGGCTCACCGGGAGTTTTAACCTCACCAGCCACCTCACGCTCTTTTTGGAAGCCGGTGCCATCATTCTTGGATCCCAGGTTCACATATAACACAAATGAAAATTATTTCTCTACACCATTCTCTTTCTGCACCCTGTTGTTTATTTATGTCTCGACCTTCCTTTGATTTATTCAATCTAAAGGTCGGAAATAAACAGTCAGGAAATCACTTTGCTGACACAAATTTTACTCTGCTTTGTACCAATAAAAACTTTTCCACTTCTGTAAAAATTGCTCATTTTTGGCAATGCTTATGCAGGATTATGCTCACTGGGAAATTGTGGAACCCCTGCCTTCTTATGGTCGAGGGATCGACTTTCCGGGTTGGAGATATCGTAGCCTGATCAACGGAGACAATCTAACCGATGTGATGATAACAGGTGAGGATATTCATCCGTAAAATGGTTGTCTGCTGAGATATATCCGAGTTCTGCTCTTCTTACGTAACTAATTCCACATTCAATAAATTTTACCAGGTGATAATGGAACCATTGATGGGCAGGGTTTCGTCTGGTGGGAGCAATTCAGCTATCATGCATTGAATTACAGCCGACCACATCTAGTCGAATTCACCAGATGCGAAAATGTCACTGTATCGAATTTAACCCTCTTGAACTCCCCTGCTTGGCACATTCATCCGACATACTGCAGGTACTGCTCGTAGCTTATGAGGTCAAATGTCACTTTTCTTGTATGCTCAACTCTACCAGATGCATTTCAAGAACTGATCTGATGTTAATCTATATGTGTCGAAATAATGCAGGAATGTGCAAGTTCTGAACATAACTCTCCATGCTTCTCCTGCGTCTCCATATACTAACGGTATAGTCCCAGGTGCGTCAAAAATTCTGTTCACGCTGTTTATCTATCACTGCATCTCCATATACAAAGCCTAAATATCTTTCGTTACGTGTAACTCAGATTCTTCCGAACATGTTTGCATTGAGAACTGTAACATTAGTATGGGGCATGACGCAATTGTTCTCAAGAGCGGTTGGGATGAGTATGGAATTGCCTTTGGAAAACCAACCAAAAATGTGTACATCCGTGGCGTTAACCTTCAGTCTTCTTTAGGCTCCGGCCTGGCATTTGGCAGCGAGATGTCTGGAGGCATATCGAATGTTCGTGTAGAGCAGCTTCGTCTACATGACTCATTCATCGGCATTGCACTAAAGACAGCTATGGGAAGAGGAGGTTATATGAAAGACATAGTTATATCCAATGTCAAAATGGAGAATATTCGCTTGGCAATTGAGGCTACTGGTCAGATCGGTTTGCATCCTGATGAAAAATATGATCCCGATGAACTACCAGTTGTTAAAGGAATCACTTTCGAGAATATGGTTGGCACTAATGTTACATTAGCTGGAAACTTTTCTGGACTCGAAAATTCACCTTTCACGTCCATCTGTCTCTCAAATATCTCATTCACCCTCACTTGGAATTCTTCTACCTCGTGGTTCTGTTCCAATGTGATCGGTTTTTCACAGGAAGTTTCTCCCAAACCGTGTTCAAACCTCCGGGACTCGGCTTTTAACTCTTCCTCAGCTTGCTTCTTTCCGTTATATAATTATGCTTCAGTTTTGTGAGATCAACGTCGAAAAGACAAAATCACCGGTTCCTTGCAGTCTGTACATTAGACACCGTTTATACAGGAGAATTTTCCAATAAAGCTCCAACTTCGAATCTTCCATCTCTATACAAACAGGCATTCTCTGCCTTGCTACGAGATCTTCCCAATCATTGTGGCATCCTGATAGGCTCACGTAGAGCCTCATTTCTTCGTGTACAAGGAAATTTTGGTAGTGCAGTACAACTCAGATAGTCAATTGCTTCCATTGTGTTTTTAGTTTTTCTTTGAATTTCTTTATCTACAATGTAAATTTCGCGTAATGTGGACTGTTACCAGTTTAATCACTCATCATGGTCTGGCACTGAGTGGGTTAAGTGACTGATGTGATTGAAATTATGAGTAATTCGAGTTTAATGTACTGATTAAGTCAAGTTTGGTAATGAATGGACTTGTGCACGCTGCGGTTTAGTTGGTTCTGTCGTTGTCCGTATTGTTGGAGGGAAACTTATCTGCACATATGGTACAATAACGATATTTCAAGCCAATCACGCAGTGTCACATATTTAGATGTTTACGGAAGTTCATTTCTTACTTTCCCACATGATAATGTTGCAGATGAAAATAACCATCCGCTTTTTCTAAGCTTCACTGCTAGTTTATATATTTCTCATGTCCAACGAAACTACAAACCAAAAACCGGATGAAAAGAAATATGCACACCGTGAAAGTTGACCGGAAAAGAAGAACGACGGAGAATAAAAAGGGTTTTTCACATATAAGCCCGTGACAGAATGACGGAAAATAGAAAGAGGTTTTCACATATAAGCCCGCCCCGCGACAACTTTACACGAAAATGCAGCCGAGGCTGCTGCAACTATTCGTAAGCCCCGGGACTTTCGAAGAGGTAAGCTTCAACAACTTTGTACATGCCCATTGCTCTTTCTTTGCCACCCCTGATTTCTTCCTCATTGATCTCCAAGTCACCGGCGGCGTTGTACTCACTCATCATCTTACAAGTACATCCGCCGTTAGGGGAAGCTTGAAAGCTTACCTCATAAGAAATGGACTTAATCTTGTCCGCCAATACATCTCCTTCAATCAGAGTGTACTTGCACACCAAATTATCCACGTCCAGTGCGTCTATTCTGTTCTTCATGTACTTATAACGCGTACCTGCACATCGTTGATCACAAAACACGTGCGAAATTAGACATGAAACAGAGAAATGTGCTTCCTTTTTACTCTAGCAATGGAGAGAAACAAAGGGAGGGTACAGATGGAGAAAAGGAGAGTGTGAAAATCATTATCCTTTTACTCAATTGACCAAAAGAAAAATCCTTTTACTCAGGCTCATCAATCACAAACAAGCGGTTGAAATTAGACATGACATGGGAAAATGTGATGTGATGAAGATTTAATGGGGAGTTTCCGCACTCCGCGCCTGCCCTCCTCCCTTTTACTTTAGCAATGGACGTAAACAAGGGGAGGATTAGAGATGGCAACGGTTGGGTTTTGGGACAGAAATTGCATATTAATCATATTCATAACCGAAGTTAATCATGGGGGATTATTTATAACCATATTCACGGGTAACGGATTTTCCATCGATTAACAATTATAATCCATCTTCGTCCATGTAAAAAAACTATTCATTTAACTGACATAATATAATTTAATAGATACTAATTCCGTCATTGAAATCCACATCCAAATCATAAAAAACAATACAATACTTTCTGGAGGTGTTCATGATAAGCATGTGATAGCAAATTACAGCAAATTGGTCTCATGTAAAAAAGGAAGGGGATGACAAAAACAAATAAAACAACCACTACGGAAAACAGACGGACCAAATTATCAAATAATTTTAGTACTTGTTGTCAATGTACATATGTATTCATATTATTATAGACGAAATAAATTATCAAATAATTTCAATACTTGTAAATATACATATATATATATATATATATTCATATGTATTATATCATAATATATGATATATATTATTCGTGGCGGATTTGGGAACGGATATGGATTAGGGGCCCCTATAACCATATCCTAACCGTAATAAAATAATATTTATGGTTTTTCCCAATATCCAAAACATACCCGAATTTTCATCCCCAAATCCATCATATTCGGGCGGTTATCCACATTCATCGGGTTTAACAAATTGAATTGTCATCCCTAAGAAGGATGCAGAAGTAGAGAAAATATGAATGTGAAAACCACTATTTTGTGATTAGGGTCATCGAACACAAGATTTGAGGTGACGAAGATGATGATTTTAATAGAGAGTGATTTTTGCACTCCCCTTTTCTCTACCTACCCTCTTCCCTTTTGCTTTAGCAACGGACAAACAAAGGGAAGACGCAGAAGTGGAGAAAACAGGAGTGTGAAAATCACTATCCTTGTGATTAGGGTCATGGACACATGGTTTATCTATAATTTACCCTCAGCAAAGTTGATCTGCTTGATGCTTCCTGCGCCGCCTTCGCCGTGGATGATTTCGATGCTCTTGATGGCCTGAGGCATGAGCTTGGGGATGAGATTGTGGGAGTCTATGATCAAGGCCTTGAACAACCTGTCTGCAGCAACTGGACTTGTAAATTCCTGGCTCAAACTTATGGAACTCATCGTAATTAGCTAACTAATTAGCCTTGCTAATATGAAAAATGATAATTAGAGTTGAGGGTTGAGAATTGAATTGGCTCAATATTTATAGATTGGAATTTCTAAATTTTATGTAGTTGGCTTTGTTGGACCATATACTACCTGCTATAAATGTAAGCCGTAGAACACAAGGTTTGACCTGAAAAATATTTTGTTGGCTAATACCATTGTCAGATTATTAATTAATTATGATTAATTGTTTTATTTGCATGTAATGGATATGAAACTTTATCTAATCAACTAACTGTTCTTGTCCTTAGTAGATTGTTAGAAGCATCTAAATCATTTTTAAGAAAATATAATGCACCAACTTGTTTCTTTTCCTAAGTGCACCAACTTTTTTTTTTTTTTTTTTTTTTTTTTTTTTGTGGATAAGTACCTTTTTGGTTGGAGATTAAAAATTTGGACTATTTTTTTATTGTTGCGTGTCATTCATTTAAATATAAAATAATTAGATGATTTTTTTATGTTAAAAATGCAGGGTACATGTATCGATCTCTTAAGTTAAGCCATCTCCAATGGATAAAGCTAAAAGTTCAAATGCTAAAAATTGACCCAATTGAAGCCCCTCTCCTAGCCTGGTTTTCGGGACCGAGCTCTTCTGCTACATAAACTAAATCAAATCTAACGATTGGATTTGAAAATTTTCAATGGTCAAGAAGGCAACTGCTAATGTCGTCAGCTAGTCGTTAGTTTTTTTTTAGGAGGAATTTTAAAAAAAAAAATTATAGCTTTTTCTATAAACATCTATCACATTTCTCTCTCATATCCTCTCCATCCTTACATATTATCTTATCTCATTTTAATTTAATTTCACATTCTATTCACCTCAAACACTATTTTCATGCATCCATCTTTCTTACCTCTTCTAATAATCTAAACTAGCATATGGGCACACACAAAGTGTGAGAATTTTTTTTTTTTTTTTTTTTTTTTTTTTTTAAAATAGAAGGAGAGAGGAAGAGAGTGATAGAGAATGTGGGAGTGGGAAAATTTTTTTATTTTTTATTTTTTTAATTAGAGATATGTTAAGATTACATGTAGGTGAGACTTTGAAAAAAAAGAGTAAAATTTGGTTGTGTAAAATTACATTTCTGCTCCATATTTCTTATTCATGTTTTGTTTTAATTAGAAGATTAAACCGGTAATTTTATAGAGTTTTGGTTGACAATAAGTGTTTTATTAATTAGTAGAGATTTACATACTTTATTTTTTTTCTTTTCAAACGGCCACTCTTCAACCAAAGGAAAGGTTGAGATTATATAAAGATAAGAAATCTGAAAACTTATTCATTTAGCAACATGTGATACACAAAAATCATGTCCGGATAACTTTATTTTATTATGATAATTTAGTCTAATGAATAATTGAGAAACTCGAGATGATATGTAAATATGGCCTGACACTGTTCATTCAAAAATACTTTCTTGCAAGGCTATAAATCTAGATGTGGCTATGTCTAGCCCCTTCGTTTCAAGGTGGCCTTAGAGCCAACCAGCCAGCCTAAGAAAAGGCTAAGCATATTAATGAATGGAGATACGAACTCAAGAGTTCTGGTATATAGATAAACGGTTGCAACCGCTTAAAAATTTAGCATATCAATTACAAGAAAGTGGAAAAATAGAATTTATAGACAGTATTTGCCATCCACACCAAAGTATGGCAGGATTTGTCTGCATAACTCACTCTTAAACATATACAAGCAACTGGATTTATTGCTGCACTTGAACTGTATTTATATGAAATTACAAGAACAGTTTTTTTTAAAAAAGAAGAATGTAGTAACACCTCTGTCCGTAACAAATCAAAGAAATCATTGAAAAATAAAAGAAGAAAACCTGAATCACTCCCTCAACGTATCTAGTTAACACCTCTACTTTCTACTCGCAGCTTTTCGTTTCATCTCAGCTGGAACTGGCTGCCTTGCAGTCCGATGTGGTACCCCGTTCAAAGGTTTTCGTGACAATGAAGGGCCTAGAGAAGTATTAAAACTTTTCCTGCAAAACCATTAGTAACTTCTTTAGCAAGCAGATTATATAAAACTCACTAAACTAAATGTACATGCAAACAGAATGCCAAGTTCGAATTACCTTGGTTCTAGGCTTTTCACTGGCTTTCCATTAGGTTTCTTGGTTTTCGATGCAATGCCGTTGCCTATGCTAGTAAGTTTAGTCTGATTGAATTGCCAGAGCAAATCTGGCTCTGAAGAGTCGCTCGTGGCAGCATCAAGATCATCCATTTCATCGGTGCTAGCAACATTGAACCTGTTGCTTCCCACGAACATATTGTAGGATTGGTCTGGATAAACCTTCGAAGAATCCTGGAGATATTTCTGGTAGAAACCATCAGATAAATTCCCATTGTCTGCTCCCCAGGATCCTAAAGGATTTCCAAGCCTGCTTGCTTCTTGCTTGTTCACCATAACCTTATCAACCCACTCGCCTGAGCTCACGTCCCTATCATCCTCCTCACAGTTCTGGATAGGACTATCAACTGGGGGCCAGGGAGATGAATTCCCTAGTAGCTCATCAAGATCAAAGCTTTGTCTTTTTGTCCTCGAAGCAGAATTGTCGTCAAGCTACAAAAGGAAGACATCAAACAAGAGCACTAAGTTCACAATGATTCGAGCATACGAACTGAATACTTTTGAAAACAGGGAAGAAACTACAAGGCATGCCAGAAGAATGAGGCATAAAAAATTTGGCATGACATCCACTGACAGTACTAAAATGTTGGTTTCCTTCAGATTCACCATCAAAAGCTTAGACTTACCTCAATTTTGCCTACCATTGGTGTCCCGCAACCATTCAGATCGCCCATCATGTCTGTACCCTGACGGTTAGAATGAAATGGTGACAGCTCACTAGCTTTCATCCTGGATTTATCAGAGCTACCACAGACTTGGCGTTGATTGCGTTCAGCTTCCTCCTCCTTCCTGGCTAGTGATGCCCTAAGACCAGCAATCTGATAACAAACAAAATTTCAGTATAAGAATTGGAACGATGCAAGTCAGAGTGTGACAGAGAATGTAAAAACCTGTTCTTTGAGAGCTTTGACATCTGTGCTATCTTTGTTTACTTGGGCTGCACCAAGTTCAACTGTGGCTACTCGCTCTGCAAATTTGAGCGTGCTTATTGTTTCACCAACAGCATCTGGCTCAGGGCTTATGTGAACAAACATAAGTGTCTTCGCCTGTCCACCTGAAATATGATTACAAATAGAGAACCATTAACAAAAGTTTCTTGACAATCTAGGCAAAAATCTCTCGAGAAGGCATGAGTTAGTTAACCGTACCAAGTGAATCTTGGAGCAGCTGTGTTAGTTTACTATTTCTATATGGAACATGTGGATTCTTTTGGGCAAGGGAAGCGATCACATCTCCTAAAGCTGAGAGGGATTTGTTAATATGTTGAGCTTCTTTTAGTCTATCTCCGGTCACCTCAGATTTGTCCACCCTCTCACTTCCCGCAAGATCAACCAGATGCATACAGCCACGAAGAATAGCTCCAGATGTCAAATCCCTTCCTTGAACATGAACAGTCAAGCAACTGCAGATTGATAAAAGTTAGAATTGGCTAATTGCAGCTTAAGTATTTACTCCCATTCAACCCTCTCCCTCTCCCTCCCGCTCACACACACACACACACAAAGAGAAGTTTAGATTCTCACCTGTGAGAACGACTACTACGGTCATTCAGGGCAGTTGCACCCACAACACGATTCCTATGTCCAAGGTTCATCAGATCAATAACATCAGATGTTGATGAGACAGGAACAAGATTTGCATCTGGCACATTGAGACCTGTCTGAGAACTATTACGAATTTCTAATGTATGAATAGTTAAGGAAAGCCTGGAATATGTGAAAGACAATGAAAGACAACATAAGTTTTTGGAGTCTCACAAGTGTTTGACAAGTAGCTTGACTAAAGCCAAATTTCATGACCTATTGGAGAAAAAAAATATATAAAAGCAGTAAACTAGTAAAGGATATCTTTTGTTACTCCCGTCAGTAACAAGGAGATCTCGTACTTGCTCGTTATAGATCTCAATCATTTGAACAGAAACATCATAACGGAAAATGTCCTTTCTTTGATCTGCTATAAAAAACAAATCTCCCAATGCCCTAAAATTTACACCTTGGCTTTTCTCCGTAAGCTCTCTGGGTCCACTCTAATCAATTAAACAACAAAAGTTAGTGATAGTATGTTAATCAATCAAGCAATCTACAGTTCACATAAAATAACATGTATACAGTGATAGACAGCTTATGTTACCATAGTGTAAGTTTTGCCCGATCCAGTTTGGCCGTATGCAAATATGCAAACATTGTAACCATCAAGGACCGACCGAATCAATGGGTGCATGTCAGAGAAAACATCAGCTGCGATGCAGTAGAAAATAACATTGTGACAAATATAATCAAATGTTTAGATTATTTAAACTTCGAAGACTATTTCCATCTTAGTAAACCTTCTTAAGAGAAGCTTACCAACCTTGGGTTGCAGATGGCCCGAATACTTTGTTGAAACTGAAGGACTTGCGTCCGTTCCCATGCCTTGCTGGGGTGTTAATAGTGATATTTCCATCTTCTATATGATCCACAGTACTTAAGCAGTTTGATACTCCAGATAAGAAGGGTCTCACTCGACAATAAACCCTGATACTTCCTAACCAACACACCATACAACTAATTAGACATTTTGAGGACTAGCATTATGAAGGCAGACACAAAACTTAGAGATTAGGCAGCCACCAATTATTCTATTACCCTTGAGGTCTTGGACTTGATTGTAAAGCTTTCGATTTTCTTCAAGAACTCTGTGATATCCACTCGCTGCTTGAGCTAGGCCATGAATGTGCAAACCTATGGAAGCAGAAAGTTGAATGAGTATAAAGATTTCTACTCACCACCCTCAAAAGGAAAAATGTCAACAAAAAACACCAAATATATTTCTTTCATAATTTATACCAATATTGTGGAACTCCTCGTGGAACTTCATTTTCATAAACTGAATACCAGATTTGGTAGTGTGAAGAGTTTGCTTTAGTTCCTGCAAATTTGATATACGGCATAAGTATGCTAACCAAAAAA